AAACTAATGATAAAGATTTGTTTAAACAATGCTGATAATTATTAGACATAAATATATTAAATATTCTTTCTAATACAATAAACTTGAAATTAGATTAAGCATCTTGCCATAATACAATTTTTTACATTCTAAATCATATCATAATATAAAAATCTAATATTACAAGTTTATTTCAATGTAAAGTGAAGAATCTATTTCTATTAAAGACTATTGCCAAGTAGCTTTAACATCTACTTTATAAACTAAAAAGATAAAGAATTATTCATAATTATTTTATTTCATTATGCCTTAGTGATTAACAGAAATATTCTCTATTAATATTAAAGTAAACAAATTTGCATCCAATATCGTTGCTTCTCAAGAACGTAATCTCCATTAAAAATGTTTGAGTAATTTTCATAAACACGAATTATTTCATCAATACTGTTTTCTTGATAAATACTTAATTGAAATGAATCAGTTTGTTCTTACTTCTTAATTAATTACAAAGTTTGAATTAAATTCGGTAAATTACTTAAAATAAATAAATAGAATTTTTTTTTTTCAATATGTTTTATGTATGTAATATTTCACTATTCAATTTGCAATCTTACTCATCCCAAGAGCTGTATAAAAAATTGCATTAAATTCAAAATTTTAGCCAAATCCTCATAATTTAGTGCTAAGGTTACTTATTGACACAAATTTTTTGGAGGTATATCTTATAATCGACTTTATGAGCAAGGATTTAAATATGGGAGATTAGTATTTAGTGATCTCTTTTTAACTTTCAATCAAAGCTGAATACTGCTTGCTCAGGTATTAGTGCTCGTAAAGGAGACTTCAGCCAGTAGTAAACAAGTTATTATTTGCAGAGCTGGGTTAATCTCGATGGGATATGTAGAGAGTTGTGATTCTTAAAATAATTTATAATCAACCACGGCTCTAGCTGATATTATTAATATCATAGCTGGCTAAACTTGCTAATCTGAATTATGTTCTCTCTCAATATCTTAATGTAATCAATTAAAGCAAGTAATTTTATATGATCTCCATATAATATTATGTCCTTAATTTTATTGACAAATCTGCTAAGGAGAGCAGTGTAAATTGTGGTTAAAGCTCTAATATTTGACACCAGGACGGAAGGTGATATAATGGCTCCTTTGAGAGACTTGCAATATTGTAATATCTTCTTTAAATGAGAGATTTGTATGTCATTTAGTCAATAATAGACTTAGAGTATACTCTAAATCAATTTTCCATCCATCTGCTAGCGATGTAGTGATCCTTGATTGAAAATCTTTAACTATTATTGATGTCCCTGTGGCAATAATACAGATTTCCCAATATCATATATAAAAAGTGTACAATGCTTGCTGCCATTAGTTTACAAAACTCCGAAAGTGTTTTCTAAGCAAATGGAAGGCAGCTTTTTATCATGTCCAAAATATAATAACTCATATTAAACTTCTTGTGTTGATGGATCTTATTTAGCAAATCACAAGTACTTCGCTATTATTTCACTCTACTCAGAATAGTGTGCAGCCTTTAATTTTTAAGCCTAATGCTTAATGTATATTACAACCCTATGGCCAATTGTTGAAAATAATGTAATGATTCTTGTATCTATTATTGGCAGTTTTAAGTATATTGAAACCATTTTTGAGCTTTATGCAGCTTGACTTTATAACTATATTAATAATTTGATTAGAGAGTATCATTTGATCGCCTGTAGAAATTGAAATT